GTTCTAGCTATATGCTGCTTACTTGCACAGCATAGTTAGTGACCTTCTTACAAACCGCTGGTTTTGATTAGACAGATTTCATTTCGCCCTCATCGTTTACAGCAGCGTAGCGGTTAAGCGTACTTTGGAAGTCGTCCTTCGATGATATGATGAGATCATATAATACACAAGTCATCGAAGACCAGATATTACAGCGAATTGTATCGTTTCTTTGCTCCTAGTTGCGGGGGGGGGATTTGAGCAGGTCACTGCTCCATGGTATGTGAGCGCCTGCAGTTTCATGCGCGTCTCATACCCATCTCATATCCATTGTTCGCTACAGCCATTAGTGCTCCTTATGATTGATGAAATCTTCAGACAACGGCCTGACTCATTCGAACCGTTGCCCTACTTTGAAGTTCTCCATGCCGAGACTGTCTGCTTATCAAGTCTGCAGGGAAGATACGAGCACCTGGCAAGGCGTCGTTTTCCTGCCATTAATATGGACACCGACCCTGGAGTAGTCAAGTATGATTTTGATATTTTCAGTAGCTCTCGATATACCCTGTATTACTGCAGTACTTTCCACTACTTCGACTGCGCTCTTCTGTTGTAGTCTTTTTTTGGTTTTTTGTGAAGTAGGCAGAAACCTTGCTCCCTTGCTGCCAGCGCTTCCTGCAGACATAACGGAGAGCAAATGGAATCCCACGGTGCTGCTATCGAGTCGAAAGTCATATTGCTCATTGTGAATCTTATCTTTTACCATTTTTAGCCATTTTCTTCCCCCGCACTTTCAATATACTTTACCGAGTAAGCTAATGGGGCACGAGGCTCTTTAGTTGCTTCCGTTTGCCTGATCCTTTTTCTCAGATAACCGTGCAGATTACCACTGTTCTGAGGTGTTTCCTAAACTGTCAGGTCAGCCACAGTAAGATTATCTTCCGTCCCAACGTGCCATTCATATCTCTAGCGGGTGTCGGTCTGTGATGACTGGATTTAAGAAATCCTCAGAATATTCCCACCATAGATAGGGGATATCATCCTCTCAGGCATGCACCAGTCTTTCATCCAGATCAAAGATAATTTCCTAGAAAAATTTGCCAATAGGTAGGTCAGAGCTCGGTTTTTTTTCGAACGCTTCATTCTATGTACTGCAAGTTTGTGTACTTCATGTTAAACACGGTTTCAGTCATAGTGAACCTTCACTCGCTGTCCAGAAGAGTGACCAGAAACAAGTGGATTACCTTGGCGAGTTCGACGCTGAACTTAGAGTAAAACCTTCGCGGACGAAATGCCTGAACCAGAACCACCATTAGAGCCAGAGCCATGTGATGAGAAGGTCAGTATCTCGT